GATGATGATTACGTATATATATATGGAATGAAATACCACATAGGTGGAATCATCAATATCGATGGTACCTATATAAATACAAAAATGATTTTTGTTTAGTGGCAGTAGCATTTTCTTATAGGGTCATGAGACTTCTCATTTGCGCCAAACCTAGTTTTTTTTTTCAAACTTCGTGAGCACTGTCTCATGTGTCTGGGAACCGAATTTAAAATTTTGTACTCAAAAATGAGATGTTTTATAACTAAATATTCAAACGCGACTTAATTATGAGTCGCGTTTACGTATAGTTCTGTCTCTACAAATTCTTATATACTTTGTGGAATGACAGAGATGGCCTTTCAGTACTCAGGTGAATTTGAAGATGGGAATGAAGGGAATGAAGAATAGAATTCGAGATCTTGTACCAACTTTGTAATATTATAACCTATACATAAATAAAAGCGACGTGTACCTGTATACACTCCTCGAGGAACTCGAGCGTGAGGTGTGGCTCATTATGCGCCAGCTTCTCGCTCACCGACTTTATGAATATCGTGTTGTTGGACGGAATGCATAGGCCTATGAACAAAATACGAATATAACTATAGCGAAACATGTTAATCTATTTAAGTGTGGGAGAGATACCAGTCTTTCCAATCCCCCAATCCCCCAAGATCCTGAAATTACCAATTTCAAAAAGGCCGGTAACGCACTTGTAACGCCTTTAGTGTTTCAAGTGTCCATGGGCGAAGCCGATTGCTTACCATCAGGTGATCCGTCTGCTCGTTTACCGGCTTATACTATAAAAAACTCTTTTTTTTAGATATAGGCTTTTACATATTTAGATTTTCCTACGCCAGATATTTTAACTGACGAATAACTTTGAATATTTTACAATTCTTCCATACTAAAAACTGTTAAATGTCAAGAATAACGAGTTTACTCGACTACTTTCAAGTCGCACAAGAGGCCCATACCTATACTCTTCGAATAATTACGTGATGTATTATCTAGTTAATTGTCAATTCTTTTTAGGTTTTTGTGTTTTTTATTTAAAAGTTGGTTTTAATATAATAAGGTATTTATATCCATAGTCTGGCTAACACACAAAGAAGCCAAGAAAGAAATAGTTTGCTTTTATAGGATGAGTAGAAGAGAAAGGAAAAAAGAGAAGGGTGGAGGGGCAGAGGGGGAAGAGGGAAGGGGAGGCGGAGGGGGAAAGGGTAGAAGAAAAGGGGGAGAGATTGAATAAAGAATATTAGTAAAAAAAGTATATATCGGGAATACGGTCGAATTGAGAACCTCCTCCTTTTTTTGAAGGCGGTTAAAAACAGAGAATGATCGACTACACATGCAGAGGAATTATTATTTAGAGCTTACCAGAAGTCTCAAGCAGCTGTCCTTCGATCTTGAGATGGAAAGTAGCGGTGAGTGCACAGAGCTGGTTGTAGGCGGCCGTGCGCAGGTTGGGGTCGCAGGAGCCGAGGTTCAGGAGGGCCATGTTCAGTAACGTGCCGGGGACGTCCTTTGGACGTATTTTTTGGTGGACTGTCACTGAGTCCTGAAGAAAAACAAATGCATTATAATCATTTTTGGTCTATATGCCATAGTTTTTTTGGTTTTAGTCTAAGACGTTTGTCATAGAGTTTGGTAATAACAGTTTTAGTGTTCGGAACGGTAACAGGATCGTAGCGCTATCAACATTTTATAATAAAACAATTCATAATTAACTCGTCGAGTACCGTCATTATAGACACAATTATAGAACAATAGGTTGCGGTCACCGGTGACCGCTTGGTGTTTGACAGTTTAACACGAGTTGTCCCAGCGCTCCATAGATGGCGTTAGGATCGAGTTAGATGGCGCTATGGTTTCGGTACCGGGATGCTTCGGGGAAATGTTTCGTATGGTGTGAGCAGCAAGCATTGTAATTATTATATATTATACGCGATGTATATCAGTACATTGTACAGTGTTTAAATTATCCGTCCTCTTCAAGTTGATCTTCGGTCATTTTGTATAACATACCATCACACCTATTATTTACTGAAAAAATAGGTAGAGGCGTACATTTACAATTTATTTATTATGTTATGAGTCCTATATAGATATTACCTAATATGCATTTTCAGACTATGAGGTGTTTCTGAGTAATTTTCAAAAAACCGAAAAATACTTCCGTCTACTTCGTCTACTACTTCCAAGCCGGAAATCGAAACCAAGACCTATCAACAGTCGCACTTGCGACCACACTTTCAATGAGGCAGTGAAATAGTTTAACTTCCACGTTCTTAACTCTGCATTCAAAATATTTATATTGATACTGATTTTTATACGAGTTTATTTAAGTATACTAAATCAAATACTAAATCCCCAAAAGCCGATAACGCACTTGCAACGCCTCTTGTGCCTCGGTGTCCATCGACGACGCTGATTGCTTACCAGCAGGTGATCCGTCTGCTCGTTTACCTATAAAAAAATATACTTACAGGCTGACTAAGTTCCCATCGGTTCCGTATATGTATGATGGACTGCACTATATTGTCGCAGTCGTTGTGTATGAAGCTCAAAGGAGTCGATTCATTGATGATCGAGAGTGAGAACTGGTTGTCATCAACGAGGCACACCTGTTGACAAAATCATTGGCATCATCATCATCATCTTCTTCTTTAGACTGTGGACGTACAGGAAGCCCAATAGCACTATGCCCAATAGTAGCACAATCCTGTACTAGCTACCTTTGCTCAATCGAGAAATTGCACTCGAGACCCCCTTGCTTGAAAGTCAAAGTCAAAATTTAAAGTCTTTATTGGCCTTCTCTACATAAGAGGGAGTGACTGGGGGCGTACAAAAAGCCCAATAGTACTTTTCTTGATCTAGAAATTGCACCCAAGGCCTCTTGCTCGAAAGTCAAAGTCAATATTTAAAGTCTTTATTGGCCTTCTCTACATAAGAGGGAGTGACTGGGGGCGTACAAAAAGCCCAATAGTACTTTTCTTGATCTAGAAATTGCACCCAAGGCCTCTTGCTCGAAAGTCAAAGTCAATATTTAAAGTCTTTATGGGCCTGTTCTACATAAGAGGGAGTGACTGTGGGCGTACAAAAAGCCCAATAGCACTTTGCTCGATCTAGAAATTGCACCCAAGGCCTCTTGCTCGAAAGTCAAAGTCAATATTTAAAGTCTTTATGGGCCTTCTCTACATAAGAGGGAGTGACTGTGGGCGTACAAAAACCCCAATAGCACTTTGCTGGATCTAAAAATTGCACTCGAGACCCCTTGTTTGAAAGTCAAAGTTAAAGTCAAAATTTAAAGTGCTAAAATAAATTGACATAAAAAATAGTCTTCTACTTACCTCGTCTATTTCCGAAGCGTAGTAGACGTCGTTCAGTAGAACGGGTAGACCGAGGACTTTGGTCTTCTCTACTGAAGTTATTTGTAAAGCTGTTGGTCCGACCTGGGAAGGAAAGATGATATTTTTATTCAATTTAATAACTATAACTTAAAGAGTATATTATTATAGTAATATAAAACGAAAATAAAGAAACAGATAATCATGTCGTCGAGTACCGACATTATAGACACAATTATAGAACAATAGGTTGCGGTCACCGGCGACCGCTTGGTGTTTGACAGTTTAAAAAAAACTGACTTCCATCGCCTTTGGATACGATTGAAATCGGTTAAATCATATACTGAAACCCTATCCTAACTGTAACAAACACTTTCATGACAACCACATCAAAATCGGTTCAGACAATCGCGAGATAAACACGCACAAACGAACACACATACACACAAACATAGAAACATATACATTCATACATACAAACGTTGGCTCATTTAATATAAAACAACAAGACAAACGAGAACCTCCTCATTTTTCTTTCTTGACGTCGGTTAAATATACTTTAATTTGTTATTCTATTGAGAAAATACTATCAATACTTAAATAAGTAATTGGTACTTATTCTTACTATGTTATTTAAGACATAGTTAGAATAATAATAAGAATAGAAAAAATAATTTTGTAGGGAGTACTGTGTCGACCACATTCTTTTATAGTATAAGTTTGTTTTTTATATGTGAAGACTTGTTGGCTTGTTGACTTGTTGGCTGTCAGACTCTCACACAATTTCTTAATTTTTGTTTTGTTAGCTGTTAGTCTTCCAAAGTTGTTAAATAAAAAAAATAAAATAAATAATCCAACGACTTCTCCCGCCTGGGTGAGGAGAGGGAGTGTCAGACTCTTACTGACTAAAGACCACCCCGTTCCTACTTCTGCATAGAGCCGGAGCTACGGTAACCCGTTAACTTGTCCGCAGCTGCGATTCACTTAATTCTACCTTACATTTATTTTTTAAAACGTTGCCCCACACTAGGATTTTCTTCTGTGTCGTGGGTGCGTTTACAAACATACAAGTTCACATACACATGACACCCAAACCCGGAACAACAATTTGTGGATCACATAAAGAGTTGTTCCGTGCGGGATTTCAACCCGCGCCACGTTGCGCGGCAGTCAGTTGTTAACTGTGCCATCAACTGTATTAAAGTATCTAAATAGTCATCTCACCTTTATAGCGACTTTAGTATCCTTATGTGATAGTTTCAGGGCATTATTGAAAACTTTCAGGTCCTCTTCCAGCGCTAGAGTGGCGCCTGGCAGCTTCTGTTGTTCCACCTCTACGTATTCTGACAATCTGCTATGATTGTCTATGAATACTAGCTTACGGTTACCCTGGAAAGTAAATTTGAGGTCATTTAGAGTTATAGTATGTTGTAACAGTGAGAATTGGTTTTGCGCATTTTTGCGCAAGTAGTATTAGTTTGCGCAAGTAGTTCGAAAAGTCAAAGTTTTTATTTTAATTAAATATACAGGAACTTTTGTGATTCTATGAATGAAAATAAATATTCCGCCAGTCAGTTCATTAAATGAATTAGTTTCTCGTTTAAAAATTTAAATTCATTTGGAGAAAAATGAAGAAAATCCATCGCATCTCTTTTGAAACCATGTTATTGCTTGCATTGCAATTTAAATAAAAAAAGACTGTTTTTACTATTATGAATGACAAAAAAGCCCAGTAATATAATATTACGGAATAAAAAAACAATTTATATTTTGCTTTGTATGGTAACAATTTATATGGTGCTTGCAATTTATGCATAATTATAAACATAACATTACGCCTTTTTATCCCCGAAAAGGTAGGCAGAGGTGCACATTGCATCACTTAATACCACTGTACAATGTAACACCCACTTTTCACTATTTGTGTTACGAGTCCCGTGTAATAGGGGGTGATCCTATTGCCATATACCAGGCACAATTCTAGACTCCGTGCTGCTACTGAGATTTTTTTTAAACCCCAACAAAACATTATATTTTTTTAATAAACCCAGTAATACATATCCAGTTATAAATGTTACGTATATATTGCCCGCAATATACGCATAATTATATCAATGTTAACAAAATATCAAACACTGCTTACCCTCAAAGGCGCGAGTATAGCTTCATGGAACTTCGTGTATTCCCTCACCCAGCTGTTGCAGTTATATATGTAGCAGGCATGAATGTTTATATACGCAACTTCAGGCAGCACTGTAAACCATTTCTGTAGGAAATCCGTCCTGAAATTATACGAAATTGTGAAGCCTAGCTTTTAGTATCTATCTATATAAGTTATATTACGTAGATATAATTATGTTATTTCTTGAATATATATGGAGTATATCATATTATATGGGGTTAGGCAATTCAGGCAATTGCCATATATATATATGGCGAGTATGGTAGAACCATGCTTCGGCACGAATGGGCCGGCTCGACCGCAGTGATACCACGGCCGAGCAGAAAACCGACGTGAACCATAGCGTTGTGTTTCGTCCTGCGAGTGAGATTACCGGTTGCCCGATCTTCCCAATCCCCGAATCCCCAACAATCGTCAAATTCCTAATCGCCAAAAGGCCGGTAACGAACTTGTTACGCCTCTAGTGTTACGGGTGTACATGGTCGACGCCGATTGCTTACCATCAGGTGAACCGTTTGCTCGTTTACTAGCTTATTCCCTTAACCGAAAATACTTAAAAACTTTGCTGATATCGGGAAACGATCCCTCACAAACTAAGTTAAAAATTCTAACTCTGTGGTATTATTGTCTTTTGAATAACACACAAGCTTAGTAATGTCTCGTTCGACTAGGGAATCGAACCCAAAAATATCTTGTTAGCAAGTCTATCTCAGTATTTATTCAGTTTATTGCAATCAAGTATTTCGATGACGAATCGAAATCTTGAATAGTGTCAATTAATGAACCAATAAATCTTTGACGCGGGAACCATTTAAAAACTTTTTAATTAACAGTCGATAAACGAAAGAAGTATTACATAGAAAGAAATAGTATAAGTATAACACAAGAACGTTAAAAAAAGGCAGACACAGTCTCCTAAAACAACGTCTGTGGCTCCTGGGCCTTTTGGCCAAACGCCACTTTAGCGCTTGTCTACAGAGAGAGTAGAAATCAAAATGTATGGGGATGACACTGACAAGTGTCAAAATTTACGTCAATTCCATATAATTTTGTTTTCTATTCTACATGTAGACAAGCGCTAAATGGCATTTGGCTACAGCTGCTGGTTACTATTGGCATTGACACGAAGAACATCTGTCATCATCTTAAGTCTGGTAACGTGGTTGCTACACGCACACATGAATAAACCACTGACAATTTAGGTTCTCAATCATTTCTAAGTGTCGTGGTGGCTGAGTTTAAGACGCCCGCTTCTCAAGCATGATGGTGCGGTTTTAAAACCTACCAACGGCAAGTATCAATGTGACTTTTTCCGAGTTATATGTACTTTCTAAGATTATTTAGATACCACTGACAAACGGTGAAGGAAAACATCGAGAGAGAAGGAAAGCAGACAGAGAAAACACGCCTTTTTCCCAAAGGGGTAGGCAGAGGTGTACATTATGCCACTATACAATGTAACACCCACTTTTCACTATTTATGTTACGAGTCCAATGTAATAGTTTCTAAATATAAGTTTGAAATCGCCAACCCGCATTGAGCAAGCGTGGTGGTTGGTGATTGATGCTCAAACATTCTCCGTGTGCGTAGAGGCTTTGCTCAGCAGTGGGCATTTATAGGCTGTTGATGTATCATTTCTAAGTTACATTACGCCCGCCTTTTTTTGAACGTCCTTTGTATAAAATAGCAGAGAAAGCGATAGACAAGTCATGCAGTATAAGCAAGCATCTTATGTTAATGCTCATTCGCACTAGTCGATGCTAGATGTCAGCTAGATCATGCTTTGGACTAGGACTTAATATAACATCACGTCTATTTATCCCCAAAGGAGTAGACAGAGGTGCACATTTATAATGTAACACCCAACGTTCACTATTTATGTTATGAGTCCCATGTGAGGGTGAGTGTTCGGTCTTTTGCCATACATAGGGCCAATTTCGGACTGTTTTTTTACTGATTTATAAGTCCCATGTAATTACCCCCCCACAAGTCACCCCTTAGTATGTCTATTGCCATATACCGGGCCAAATTTATGACTCTGTACTATTTGACTGTACTGAGCGAAAAAACAAAAAATCCTATTAATAAGTTATATCTAAAAGGAAGATTAGAAATTAAGTAGATGTACTAATAGAAACTATAGAAGGTTGTCATCTAGCGAAAGACAAATTTTGCTATAGGAATGGAAAATAATTACATTTCTGAATCTAAAACTGTAACGCTCGAATACTAAATTGCTACTAAACTTTAAGTTGTACTTAATTATCGTGCCATCTCTATAATTTTACGAAGAATTTGTAGAGACAGAACTATATATAAGCGCGACTTGCAATTCAGTAGCGTTTGAGTCAGCGTTAATCAACTGAATCTAGTTTACAAGAAGTCCCCTACTTAAAAACGCGTTATTGAGGTTATTATTATTACAAAATTAAACCTTATTAGTTTATAGCGAAAGTCAAATATTGAATAACAATATAGAGAGGGAAAAGATTATTCTACGGCTATCAAGGGGTACTACAATATTCTCATTATGTAATCTTACCTTAAAACCTATTAAAGAAAGTTAAAAAGAACTCTATTCTTTAGTATATAAGGTTCTACCTACCTTTAAAGAGGGTACTAAAGAAAATTTTGGAACAAGTTTGTGCTAGCAAGGGAAAAGCTAATCCATCCTCAAAGTAAAAAGGCTAATGGCTAGAGAGCAAGGGAAAACGAACTTTATCGTAAAAGGAGTAAGGTTCAAACCTCAGTTAATGGCTAGAGAGCAAGGGAAAAGCTACTCTATTGTATAGCTACGAAGGTCTTACCTACCTTTAACCAAAGAATATTTTCAGCTAGCAAGGGGAAATCAACTTTATTCTAAAAGTAGGAAGATTAAAACTCAACTAACGGCTAAAGAGGGCAAGGTAAAAGCTACTCTATCCTATAGCTACCAAAATTTCACCTATTTAACTAAATATCAAGGGAAAAGGTACTCTATCATAAAAGTAATAAGATTAAAATTCGACTAATGACTAGAGAGAGAGAGCAAAGGAAAAATAACTTTATCCTAAAAGTACGAAGATTAAAACTCAACTAATGGCTAGAGAGAGTCAGGGAAAAGCTGCTCTATCCGATAGCTACCAAGATTTTACCTATTTAACTAAATATCAAGAGAAAGGGTACTCTATCCTAAAAGTAGTAAATTTGAAAATTCGACTAATGCAAACGAGCCTAATCTACGAAGAGATCGTCACCTGAACCTGTTGTCAGAGTTGGTGTGCGTGAAGTCCACTATCAGCTCGAACGGTTGCTGGCAGAACGGCTTCAGGGTCAGGATCACGTGATAGATTAGAAGGTCAGCGTTCACCTCGCCTATTCTGTTGGACAAAAGGCATATCAAAGATAATATTATTTTATATATTAAAAATTCGATAATACGCTCGAATTTTCTTCATAATATTATGTCATGGTGATATTCACCTAGAAGGCAGAGGTAGAGGTACACTATAACAAGGTAATACCTACTTTGTAACCTAGCACAAATCTAATACAACGTAGCACGTAGCGCTACTGCAACTATGCTGAAGCGCTACTGCAACTACGCCGTTGTGCTACTGCAACTACGCCATAGCGCTACTGAAACTACGCCGTAGCACTATAGCAACTACGCCGTAGTACTTTACCAATTACACCGTAGTACTATAGCAATTACGCCGTAGCCATACAGCAATTACGCCGTAGCAATACAGCAATTACGCCGTAGGATTACACTACTAATCCTATAAAGCTGCTCGATACGGGAGTCGAACCCTTTTACTGTTTACTTGTTTCTACTTAAGCAAGGAGACATTTTTAGATTTTTAATAATGTCAATAAATAAATAACACTTATATTCCTTTTCATTCATAACATTCTTCACATAGATTAGCCATATTATCTAGTCACCTTTGCTCCATGCATCGTTTCACATTTATAGTAACTATCGTGAGACATACTAAATTAACTAAAAACCACCGAGTTACTCACGTGAATATACTGAGAAAATCTTTAACAGTTTCGAGCTACAAAGGGGCCCTTCATTATAAGCAGCGTGCGCGGTCGATATTGGTAAAGTAGGCTGCGCGGGACGCGTGAGGCAGCGAAGCGCTGCCTCCTAGCAACTCAGCCATCGCGAAGGACACACCGGGCGTCGGGGATCGCGAGACGATCTCCGGCCACCGTCAGCGCGGGACTGCGGACATAGAGCATGGGTGGCTCCCCGTCCGACCAGAAACAGACCCGAGCGGACGGCGCCGAGCGTTCCGCGCGCGCCTCAAAGAGCCATCAGACCACCACAGGTGGGGCCCAATACGGCCGATGCCGATACGGAGCCGCGGAGGACTTAACGGGTTACCGGGGCTCCGGCTTAAAGTGCAGGAGTAGGAACGGGGTGGTTTTTAGTCAGGAAGAGTCTGATACTCCCGCCTCCCTCGCGCGACATCGCAACAGTAGTTTATCTCAGTATATTCACGTGAGTTAACCCGTGATTCTTAGTAAACTTTCACATTTCATTTAAGACAATCATAATAACATGAACAAGAATTAAAAAATACTTACTTGTATCTTCTCGATATAAAATAAAACACGGGGTTCCCAAGCTTGCTAGTCCCAGCTTGGTAGAATATATTCAAGCTCTTTATACTTTTGAATTCTTCTTTTTTATGCATATTATGTTTTACTATGAACTCTTCGAAGTTAGTAGAAGAAATATCTATGGATGACCAGCGCGCGTACGACGAGAACAGGAGACTCGAGGTGCTGGAAGAGAGACTGCGTAAGAGTCATCTTGTTTTAAAATTTAAAGATTTTTTAGTATTGGAGAAATGAAAAAATATACATTCTAGTAGTGTGTTCAATGTATGTGGTATGATATAGTACAGAATGTCAAGCACGAATAACTATCGCATTCGTAACGTAATAGTATCGAGCGCGTTAGGCGCTCTGATTGGCCGGCTCAAGTGAACCAACCAATCAGAACGCTTAACTCGCTCGATACTGTTACGATACGAATGCGATAGTTATTCGTGCTTGGCCCTCAGGACAGTATTGAATACAATGTATTTACGTGGTACGGTATGTATTGTACTGTATTATATTGTATTGTATCGTATCGTATTGTATAGCGTATTGTGTGTACTGTATAGCATGGTATTACAGGGTATAGTATTCATTTATGGTAAAGAGAAAGAAGAAAATTAAGAATTTTAAATGATATTCACATTAGTGAATATCATCAGTGAATATCATCAATATCAGTGAATATTTCTATAAAAGAATTGACTTTGACTAGTTGTCAACTATTAAGTTGACAACTAGTCAAAGTCAATTCTGTTTTTTGCATCAAATAGGACACTAACTTATTTCATTAAAATTAACTAGAAAAATAAAAGAAGAAAGCATGTCGTCAACCAATGATTGAAACTACGTTTAATTTTGAATTAACTAATCGTACTTATATGAAACTACCCAAATATTTTAAGTGTGGGAGAGCCATGCTTCGGCACGAATGAGCCGGCTCGACCGGAGTGATACCACGGCCGAGCAGAAAATCGACGTGAAGCAACGTTTGTGTTGTGTTTCGTCGTGTGAGTGAGGTTACCGGAGGCCCAATTCCCCTTCCCCATTTTCCTCAATCCCTGAATACCCAACGATCCTCAAACTCCTAATCCCCAAAAGGCCGGTAACGCACTTGTAACGCCTCTGGTGTTCCAGGTGTCTATGGGCGACGCCGATTGCTTACCATCAGGTGATCCGTATGCTCGTTTACCGGCTTATGCCATAAACAAAAATTATAATGAATTTTGTGTGTTCACAAAAAAAATATTCATTAAATAAACTTTCATATTTATTGTTTATTAAAATGTATTATCATATCGTTATAATGTAGATATTTGTGACAATTTATGAAAAACACTACAAATATTAAGGACCAAATTTCTAACTACAATATTTTAATAATTTATGGTAGCTACAGTGTTAATACTTACGATTCAATTGGCTTATGTTCTGGCGGTCCCAAGTAAGCCAGCAATGTCGCCATCTAAAACGAGACAAAATTGCATTAATGCTAAATCAAATCAAATCAAAAATGTTTATTTGCTAAAATACGGTACAAAAGGTGTTACAGTAAAATTTTTTTCCAGCGTATCCTGCCGTATATGGCGTGCAAATTTATTATTAAAATTACACTATCAAGATTCTATCGTCTTATCTTCTAAATAGTCCTTAATACTAGAGGTATAGTAACACTTGGATAGCAAAAGTTTAAAAAGCATTTTCTTAAATAATGTCAATGGTAATTCTTTTAAACTATTTGGTAATTTATTATAAATAATTATGGACATACAATATATACATTTTTCTTAAATAATTTTAATTTTATTCGTGGTAAACGAAGTCTGTCTTTATGCCGTGTTCGGCTATTTGATCTGTCTTCCAAAGTTTCAAATAGAATGTAATTTCTTTTTACAAAAGTACATATTTCAAAAATGTATAGACATGGTAAAGGTAGGATATTTAATTTTTGCTACATCAACTACGGCGTAGTTAAAGTAGTGCGTAGTAACATTACACTTTAACTACGCAGTAACATTATAGTAATTACCCTGATCGTCTATTTCAATTGTCCTATAGCAATATTGGTTAGTACCAATACCACAACTACGGCGTAGCACTATACAAATTACACCCGTAATGTTACCCAACTATGGCGTAGCATATAGCAACTACGGCGTATCACTATAGTAATTACGCCGTAGCACTATGGCAACTACGCCGCAGCACAACAATCACTACGCCGTAGCGTTACAACAATTATGGCGTAGCTCCAACTACACCGTAGCAATACTGCAACTACGCCTTAGCTCTAAAGCAACTACGCCTTTTAGCTCTTCAGCAACTACGCCGTAGCACTACAACAATTATGGCGTAGTGCCAACTACCCCGTAGCAATATTGCCACTACGCCTTAGCTCTAAAGCAACTACGCCGTAGTACTACAATTATGCCGTACCACTATACATCCACATCGTCCCACTACAACAACTACACGAACTACGACGTATTACTACACAACTACGCCTTAGCACTATTAACTTAAAACTACCCGTTTTTTAGCCTTACCTTGTCAAAAGGCCTTCTCCCAACGGCCTTATGGTCCCGGCTACAGGACAGATAGTCTCCGATCCTCTCCTGGTGGTTCCATAGCAGTCTATGCAAGGCGACGACATTTGCGTCACTTATGAACGACAGATTGTGTGATGTTTGATCTACGGACTCGCAATCCGATGCGATTTGGATGAAAAACCTGTGGAAGATTATTTTTTATTTTATTTTAACTACAGTATTTTATTGTAATTTTTTTACTATCTACTTCGAGGTGTCAGTAGTCATAGAATAGAGAGCGAGTGTAGTGACATGTGTAGGCCTTACTTCTAAGCATTTTCGATAGTCCAAAATTCAGTTATATCTGTGCTCGAACTAAAACTGGAAGTTAATGGAAATTAGTCTAGTAAATCTCTAAATAATAATTGTAACTAAGACTTTATAAAATTACTAGCGACCCGCCTCGGCTTCGCACGGGTGCAATACTCGTATATTATACATATAAACCTCTGTCTGTCCCTATGTATGCTTAGATCTTTAAAACTACGCAACGGATTTTGATGCAGTTTTCTTTATTAGATAGAGTGATTCTTAAGGAAGGTTTTTATGTACAATATATGCATATTGCACCCGTTGCGAAGCCGGGGCGGGTCGCTAGTTACCAATATGTGTTTGTAATAATGTAAATACTCACTTGCGGCCGGCCTCAAAGTGCGCCCTGAGGAAGTGATTGAACGGCAACATGTGTTGTTCCTTGGAGAACTCCACGTGGTTGGCAATGTTCTGCAGGATCTTGGACATTAACATCAGGCCGCGCTTCACGTGGGGCGGGACTGGGCGGTTCACTATACCCATCTCTTGGGGGGATACTGTAGGGGGGAAGGGTATGTCAATTTGTTTATTACAATTTTTTTATCAGTTTATTTTGGACGGTGTTTTTATCCTAGCTATAGGACATGACAACCCCATTGTATCCATCATTAGCATAACTACAACTCTAATAAAATTTATATAAATTAAAGGATAATAGGGCGACGTCAAGAACCAAGCTATTGTGGGGGCACTGAAAGTAAACTGCAAATTTATTACAATTAAACTTAGGCAATGTTAGACGTGAAGACTGTGTATATTTTTAAACTGATATTAACATCACGCCTGATATTGTTCAAAAGAATAGGCGTAGGTAACTGTTAATGTAACATCTATTATTTATTTATTTATTTATGCTTTATTATACACATTTAAGTAGCTCATAAAATAACCAATTCGAGTAAATATGCGTACAATGGGCGGTCTTATCACACAATGGTGATTTTTTCCAGACAACGTTTGCGCTATCGCTATCTATTACTAAAGTTTTGAAACCGCAAACTCTTAATAGTTTTTCTGGCGCCTAAATCTATCTGTTATTGGAAATTACTGGAGGAAAACACCTCCTGTTCCTGGAGGAAATCCTGTTCTTCAAAAAGCCAGTTTCGCAATGCAATGGCAACTCCTCATGATGTTACAGGTATTCGACAACCAATTATAATCAAGTCTTTATGAATTATGCTTCTATACCATGAAAAAATATATGGAAAATGTCGCAACAAGAAATCAGACTCACCAATGGCAGGGTTGATAAACCGAAGGAAGAGTACGGTGCCGACAGCACCCACGCTTGTCTGTGGGAACTGGGCAAACCTCTTACTGAGTACCTGAAAACAATTGCGCATCACAATAAGGACTTTCTTTTTTTTTATGGAATGAGCCGGTAAACGGGCAGACGGATCACCTGATGGTAAGCAATCGGCGTCGCCCATGGACACCTGGAACATCGGAGGCGTTTACAAGTGCGTTACCGGCCTTTTAGGATTAGGAATTTGAGGATTGTTGGGGATTCAGGGGTTGGGGAAAGGGGGGGGGGGGTTGGGCATCCGGTAACCTCACTTACACGACTACTATCTAACTAACTAACTAACGACTAACCTAAATGATGTAAAAAAACTTAACAATTTCAAAAAATCAATAGGTTTGCCTTAACTTTAGTGGGGAGGGGGGGGGG